GGGCTCCCCTAGGTTAACTCAGCCTCAAAATGAATACCTGGTGCGGTGTGTAAAAACATCGCCACTGGGGAGATAAAGGTGGTCTGGCGTGGTGCTGGCCACCCACCCTCTCGTGTGCCGTTCCGGCCTTAATAGGTGCTCGCTAACAGCACTTGCCCCAATAGTCCGGCAAGGCTATACGGGGGATCTTTGCAGTGGCGTAACTACATTATCAGCTCAGGGGATGCGGCAATTGGTCAGGTGGAGCCCCAATATTTGATTTGTCTCGCGCGGTCGCACCTAGGCTATATATCACAACAATTACATCCGTCTTTGTTCCTTTACACTGCTGTTGAAAACATATCCCACTGTGCTGTCAAGGGGGCCCTCAACTCGTAGCTTTGGCTACAAGGGGTGGGGGGCGAGGCAGCTCCTGCCCCCAGGATTTAAAGCTTTCGTGACTGCAGGGATTCATCTTCTTGGTTCTTTCGGTAAAGTCACGTAGAAGGGAAATAATAAAATGATAAAAATAAAACATAATAAAATAATTCTCACGACGTTTCGGCCACAACGCAAGCAGCCGTCCTCAGGTGAAGACCAGGTCTGTCGGGGAGACAGCTGAGGACGGCTGCTTGCGTTGTGGCCGAAACGTCGTGAGAATTATTTTATTATGTTTTATTTTTATGATTTTATTATTTCCCTTCTACGTGACTTTACCGAAAGAACCAAGAAGATGGATCTTTATATTTATTTGTGGAGAGCGGTCCTTCCTCCGCACCTCCGAATAGCACGGTTGGCTACGTGCGGTGCGAAAGAAGTTCAACATGCTGTACATACATACATAGCAGCTAGTGCGAGTTACATCGGAAACCGGTCCTGGACCTTTACACCTGCAATGTAAGTTATTCTAAAATGTGCGTGTAATACTGCAGTGGTATAAATTAGGGACGCAACGAAGCATCGATTCATTGATCATGCTCACGTCACATGCCTCGAATAACGAATGTGGGCATCAATGATTGAGTACTTTTTTCAAATGTAATGCAAATTATCTTCACGTATCGAATTGCGCTAATGAAACCAACTCAACTGTACAAACAAGAGAGAACAAAGAAGCCCCCCCCAAAAAAAATCAAAAAGCAAATTAGATGGTAAAAACGATCAAAGGAAATCTAGGCCGTTGAATCAAAGCCGCGACTAATTCATTATCATGACGTGTGTATTCATCGTGTGCGTTTGCGTCGAGTCAGGCAGCAGCAGCAGCAGCTTCTCCTCCTTCTCGATGTGCGCAATGCAGCGGCGTCGTCCTCAGACAAGCGATCAGCTTGGTCAGCGGCGACCGCCTTCCACCATGTGCGTCTCTCGGCACGCGGCGGCTGCTCGCGATGTCGTCGTCTACCGAGCGCCACCACGCGCCCTGTGCGGGCTTTGGATGCACGATGGGGCTGGAACGATTTGGGGAGAATATCCGAACGCGATTTTTCCGACAGATATTGCGATTAACATTTTTCAAAGTCGAGCTTCAATTCAATGTTGACTGTGTAAAATAGATTTAAAACATGTGATGGCGCATTACCACATGATACCATCAAAATATGAACTGCTCTATACAAGAATGAGAACTTAAAAGATATGAATTGCTTCCAACATGTGTTTATTCTTTTATTTAAATTGAAATAGAACAATCAAGTATAGAATAATTGTTAAGTTAAGTAAAATAAGTTAAATTAATAAAAAAGAAAACAATTCCAATAAGAAAGTAACAGGACTTTTCAAATCGCAAAAAACCGCAGCCTTTGCGATTTGCTAATCGCATTGTTTCGAATTGCGGTTTCGAAATAAAATCGATTAATCGTTCAGCCCCAGTGCACATACACCTTGGTGGTCGCGGAACCTGTTGAGGAGGGGTCTGGCGGGGGGGGGGAGTCAGTGGCTCAGCGTTCACTTCGCACCCGGGCCTCTCTGGGGAAGCTCATGATCCAGCCAGCGGTGACCGAATGCTTCGAGCAGAGCCGTCACAAGGATATGGCGAATCGGGGCGACCGTCCTGTGCCCCGCCCTTTGTGTGTGGGGGGGGAGGCGCACTTTAACGTCACAGTGTCAGATGTAATACTTCTGGTTTGGTTTGAAGGCGTTGCCCACACGCTGGGAATTGGCCCCTTGCCCCCCCACCCACCCCCCTATGGACGGCTCTGCTTGCGAGCTCCAACTCCAGGAGTCCCCGTCGCCTGCAGCTCTGACGAGCAGCAACACCTCCGGGTGTCACGCCGTGGGGTCCGCACTCCCGACTCCTGCAACTGAACGCCCGAGGGGTCTGGCCAGCAGCCAAGCGCAGCTTAATCGGCGTTCTCGCTCGTCGTGACTACGAGCCGTGACAATTCACGCATTCTCTGTACGTGAGGGCGAGTGGCCACGAATTATGAAATCCAGCCGGGCGATGGTGGGCGATATGCACGTGGCCTGTAGTGTAGCGCTGTGGAGACGAGTTTTTGGTGGATGGCACAAATGTTGTGACATCTCCCCTGCCGTGGAGGTGCCGTACCCTGGAGAAGGCGGTACGGCAAGTCGACGAATCACCACCTGTTTCCATCTGCGTGGGGATAGTGTGTTTCCCCCTCGCGAGTGAGTTTTCTCCGGGCGCTCCGGTTTCATCCCACCGGTATTAACACTCACCTTTAATGGGTTAAAAACATTTAACATAAAAACCCATCGCAGAACCCTCCCGACAAAAAAAAGCGTCCGACGACTCCGTGAAGCTTCGTAGCCTAAACAAAGAAATAAAGAAATCCGAATGTTTGAATGCAACCGCTCGTTCCATTGTCCACATGCTGCCACCTGCTGCTCGTTTGGCTCCAACGACCGGGCGAGAAGTGATACGAGCGAAGAGACACCCATTGTCGTGTTCTTCCAGTCGCACGTGCAACATGGGGGGGTGCACGTCAACAGGAACACAGTTCTCCCGAGGGGATTTCCCAAGACGTAGCGGACACAGTGGCGAGGCTATCGATCGAGTGTGCAGGCGGTGCAACCGCACCTGTGTCCACGAGCCAGAGGGGCACAGGCGCCAGGCTACGAAGAGGGGGTAGGGGACAGGGGTATAATTTGTACAGCTGGCTGCGTTTTAATTGATGGCGCCGGCTTCTAAGCCAATCACGCCAAGGCACTGAGTGCATTTTTTTTACGTATCTCTTGGGACTGGAGTCATCACCAGATGCCCTCTCTGCACAGGGCACCAGTTGCTGCCATAACTCTATAGACGCTGCAATCTCACCCATCTCCCTGTGCAACAACATTGGCTAAACTGTACATGCGCTTCCTTTTCCCACGTGATATGCACGTCTCACTGATTTGAGATGCGGTTGCATCTCAAGAGCGATTGCATTCACATGCTTCGTGAATGTCAACTATTTTAAATAGTGTAAGGCAGTTAAGGTATCCTGGTTATACATTATTGGTTTCAATAGAATACGTGTACTATTATGCTGCCATGTTAATTTGCACCATATTCCTGTATTTGAAAGTTTTATTTAATTTAAATTTATGAACGTAATCAATCTTCCCGAGGACATGCACCTCTTCCCGATTGAGACTTTTGTATAAAATATTTATTTTGAACACGAAGCCAGTGTTTTAGGTATGTAATCCCCCGGACAGATGCCTAATATTTACCTGACATTAAATACAAGTTAGATTTTACAACATGAATGCACTCCAATTTTAATTGATTGTAAGCAATAACAACGTAAGGCGTTTTAAATAGCCACACTTATTGCACACATCAGCACAAGTCATTCAATCAAAACGAAGAGCTATAAATACAACTTAGTAATATCCCTTTTCATGTGCGAGTTATTTCCCTGAAGTATGATATTCAATTTCCTCATTTGAGTGGTTTACCCAGTGATCAACCCGAATGCTCGGCTGTAATGCATTGCAACATTTTCCCTATCCTCCGTACGTAGCCACCCGTTCTCATCGGAGGTGCGGGGCAAGAACAGCAAACTTAACACAAAGAAGCAGTTCTAAACGAATGAGTCCGGCTGTCGCATATGCGTTTCACATTTTGAGAGTAAAATAATTCACGGCCCTCTGTCAATCGAGCGATGTAATCCCGTGTCGGTACCGTGGGAGTTTGTTGAACACGCTTTTCAGCACGTTGGTGAGTGAGGATTGGTGATGTTTGGGAGCGGTGGCCCAGGACTGGTTCAAGACGTCACTCGCCACGCTTGGTCGGCCTTATCCGGACTTCAACTCATGTGGGGTAGGTTCCGGAGCGCTGTGCGTGAACCACTCTCACTGTGCTACCACTTCCTCCCGCTAACACTCGCCAAAATGTATTTTTTTTTCAAGGAAACACCCGACGTGACTTGAAACACCCCGAGGCGATGACTTTCTGAATAGGTGATGTTGATCAAACGCGTGAGGAGGAATATCGCGTTACTCAGGCCGGAAGCAACGCATTAGTCGGCAGGCAGGAGGGTTACATTTGATGGTGGCACCTGTCGGAAACTCCTGAAGTAAGGCTGTGCTTCCCGCTGACTCATACATATGACGGCACAGGTACTCAAATAATTAAGATATTTCCTTCCCTTAAAAGGACTCTCTGTTGTGTACAATCTGTGGTGGGGAGATATTGTGTGGCGGTTAGCGTACTGCGCTACGAACAACGGTATCCCGAGATTGATTCCAGCTCACGGCTAACATCAGTGACGTATATTTTAAATCAGTCCTGGGTCTCGCCTAGATCAACTCAGCCTTAAGTGAGGATCTGGTGCGTTGTGTAAACGTCAACATTGGAGAGAAATGCTACCGGGCACAGCGTTGGACACACCAATCCCTCGACGATAATCCCGGCTTTCATAGGTGCTCGCTATCAGCACTTGTCCCAACATTCAGAAAATAATACACGGGGGATTGTTGCGTTTTTTGTGTAAGGGGAGAGACGGAAAGACGTGCATATGCTGGAGATACCACCAGTTTCCGTGCAGTTTGAAAGAGTACATTTTGTTCAAAAAAAGATTAGATAAAAAAATATATTTATTGATTGCATACAGCATGACATTGTAAACTGCCCACGTTTTACAGCAAGCGTCAACACCTTGTTAATAATTTAACACTATCGCAGTAGTGAAAATACGACACGTTGCCGAGGGAAAAAAAAACCCGAGCAATAGTAAAATAAATAAGCAAATAAATATTCAAATATGAAAATTACAAAAAAATCTACATCACATTTACAACCTCAAGTACAGCACCACTATTGTGTCTTCTTTTCAATGTGGCCAATTAAGCACCAAGGAATGCTCTTTAACTCACGCTTCGTGTTCACCACAGCCATCCTGACGAATGTGGTTCGCATCTATGAATTGACAACTGTCAGTCTATAAGTGTAATTTATCCTGTCTTTGTATACATTTTTTTTTAAAACATAACTGTTATTTTTGTTCTTCCTATATTAGGTTGTTTAGTTCCAATTCCCGTATTGTTGCGTTCACGTGTGATTTAGTTAATGTTTTACTGAGTTCATATATGATTGTTTAAGTATCAACTTTAATGGAACTTCCTCTGTAAATGTTCCATCATTGCCCACTCCAGCTTGAGAGGCTGGCCACCCGTAGTCAAGACGTTCATAGCTAATCGGGTTTTTCCAGCTTAAAGCAAACGTCTTTGTCTATATATAAATTAATCAAATGGCTACTCATAATCGCACATTGTAGTCAAGCATACGCCCATCTTTATGCAATAATGTATTTTTATAACAAAAAACATCGTACCATAACACGCAATGCCACGTATAAAATATCCTACTACAACATTCTATAATACTTTATACCAATGTTTCTTAACCTTCACTGGAGCCTTGGTTCCCAATCGTTAAAAAAAAATATGTTAAATAAATACACAGCGGTCGATGAAACAAATGTGTCGCGAAGCCACGCCCCTGTCATCATCGGTTAGGAAGCGTGGTCTAACCAACAACATGTTGACAATGCGGGGACTCCTCTACTTACGAACGAATTCGATTCAGGAGGTCTGTTCGTAAATCGATTTGTTCGTAGGTCCAACTTTACTCCCGTCGATTCCGAACATGTACACTAAACACTGGGAATGGCTTTAAAAGTTGTATAATCTCCTGTAGATGTAGATGCCATGTGTTCATCATATTCTGCAGATGCCACAACCGCCATCTGTCGCGCGGCGGTTGAACTTACGACTCTCGGTCCGAATGGGCAACTGGACATACGGACAGGTTTGTTCGTATCTCTGAAAGTTCGTAAGTCGAGTATTCGTAAGTAGAGGAGTCACTGTACAGTAAACGTTGATTGGTTACATAGAAAGTCCTATTTAGCCAGTTACCCGGCTAGTTTGCTAAGGCAGATCCGTTGTGCATTTGCACAGAACAACATCAGGACAGACCATACACCCACGGTGTCAGTGTTAATCCACATCTACCACCAATAAATAATCCACCCTCAAACCACACTCACTGACAGTGGAATTCATATTATCGTAATAGAATACTTGCTAGACTAGCCTAATGACAATATAATAAATATATATAAAATACCAATACTTTGGAATAAATTACATTCTCACAGTAAACTTTCTTTTACGTGCAATACTTCGTTGATTTTTTTATAATATCGGGGAGTTAGCCCACAGTGAAATAATAAGTTAAATAAATAAATAAAACCTTCAGTCAGATCAGAGGCTGAAGGTCACGTGACCATCTTAGTCCTTCAAAGCAGGGTCATTGCCCAAAATATAAATACTTGTTTAATAGTTGTTCTTTTAAGGCAGCGTCATTTACCAGTGTGCCAACGTTGTATGCTATGTAGACCAGTAATTGTTCATCAACACACCTATCAATAATGTCTTGTTTTCATTGGCAAGACAACATTGTATCACTCCACGCTACAAGGCTGTAACCAGGGTTGTCATAATTGATCGTGATTGTGAGCACCGCCAGTGTCAATTTCTGGTAACAACTGCCAAATAATTAAGTTCAAGTCTCGTCACTTTCAAAGAAATTCCACTTTCACTGCTGAAGGTCACACGACTGCCAAAGGCAGGACAACGAAGCTGTAGACAGATGTGTCGATGGAAGGACGAGCATCTCACTGTGGGTTCGCCTTTTTGTTCAGCACATGCAGGCTACGGGCCACCACGGATGCCATGTGCTGAAACATGTGCAGGATCTGGAAGCTGGCCTGTCGCGTTTGCCAATCGCTGGAGTAAATCTTGCTCGCCACGTCGGGAGAAATGGGCTCAACGACCAGACTCTCTGAAACATCCACCTGCAGACGACACAATTGCATAACACGTTACTCAAACTGACAACAATGAAATCACCTAACATGCATCACCAGTTGCTTGAAGATCTCCCCCACGCCAGATCACTCACGGATTTGTTTAGCTATACTTCCCCATGCTAGTCAGTGCAAATTAGTAATTGAGGGGGGGGGGAGGAACGGTTCAGATATCGCTCACCACTGATGGTATACATTGTCAGCAATACTCGACATCATAATCATCATCATGATAGATCCACTAACTGGCTCCTGAATAGCTATCATAATGAGGTGTTTCATCTCATAATATTCATTAAACATCATAGGCCATGTTGCATCCACTCCTGGATGAAGGCCATCTAGATGCCATCGCTATTCCAATGATGCACCAATCCATCCATCTCTCGCACAGGAGCCGATCTCACGGCTCCAATGCCGCGTCACAGCACAATGTGAACGCTAAAGCAGTAAAAAAATTAACCCGTAAAAACTAAGTTTTTCACTATAAATCCTTTATATGCGTGGCGGCTAGAGTCCTCTCGTCCTCTGGCTTGAGATCTTGAGATAGCTGCCACCTATGGGTCAGATGATTGCCTGCCACCATTAAGCAATTGGTAATTAAATATATATATTTTTTTCCTAAAAGTGCAAAATTTTGGAGAAAAAAAATTCACGAAAATTAATTGTCACACACAACGAGTCTGTGTGCAAAATGTCAGCTCGATTGGATCACGGGAAGTGGGTTAAAAAACGACCGAAAGATTTGCACGGTCGTAAGCGCGCAAGCAAGCAAGTGAACTTAATATAAAGGATTTAATTAGGTATACTGCAGCATTGTAAATTATCACCATCAGCTCTGATCAATTCACTGCTGGATGTAGGTCTTCCAAAGCCGTCGCCATGTAAAGTCGACAAATGATCTGAATACTACATTGAGTTTAAAATGTATATGGAGTACACACACCATAGCCATCGTATGCTTAGAATATCCTTGCCAAAGGAAGAACAAGTCAGCCTAATAAATAATATTGGAGAAAGACGGACTCCGTGGCTATGTAGATCTGACCGCTACGTAGTTCCGCATCGTGTTTGCATTGTACCTCCGCAGCAGAGATGAGGTTCAGCATTTCTCGTATGCCCGTCACCAGGATGTCGGTGTCGGTCGCGGATCTGTCGCGTAGAGACACCAAGTAGGTCTCGTAGATGCGGAGGTTGTGCGCGATGCTCCCGAAGCACCGGTCAAAACTCCACCTCTGTGAGACGGGAGACATTCCACGTCAAGAGTTGGCGACGTTGCTATGTGGGGGGCATGCGTGCACGCGTACAGGCAGACAGCAGCGGCTGAAACCTCACGATGTTTAAAGAATGCGCTTCTGCGGCCGTCTGGAACGCTCTCCTTCCGATATAGGGTAGCCACTGGAGCTATGCACTTTCAAATCTAGAGAAAAAACTCATTTCTTTAGAATTGCTTTTTTCGTTTAGTCTGTCGTCATTCCCCCGCAACGTCGCGATGAGCATAGTTGGCTACGTAGGGTGCGAAAGAAGCTCAACGACATGCAACAGCAAAGGAAGGTGCAGCCCGAAAAACACGTAGCTCTTACTACTACCGCGTCGGTTTTAACGGATGTCCGACGTTTCGTTCCACGTACTGATGAAGCTCCCAGCACGTGTAAGGAGACGTCGGACGTTGTGCCGGACATCACGCAGTCCAGTCGAACACGCATCGGAGAGCCACAGAGCTCTTACATATTGTAGATGCTTTCTTGTGGCTATGGACTTTTTAGCGCTGTCTGCCGTGAATGTTATTATTTGTTTATGAGAAGAAGAAAAAGAAGACTTTAGAAATGTCTTAGAACGTTTAAAGTAACTTTCTGACACGCTCGGTGTGCCCAGATGATGTCACTGCCTTTCAACACAGTCACTGCAACTATGAAATAGCAATTACGCCTGAAAGTAATAACAGTATGTTCTTTCTGGCTACTTACTAACCAGAAAGATCAGTATGTGACCCATGCTGTCACACGCATGTGTGACCGCATGGGTCACAGTTAATCCACGTACATACAAGTCAATACTGAACGTATATTTATTTGCTCTGATTTGCGCCAACCCCTTTGGTGCAGATACATATGCTTTATTGAGCATTCAATGGCTCGAGTGTACACACACATACGCGCAAACGAACTTCGCATCTGCGCTTCAAATATCCGATTGATTGTTGCAGTCCTATCCAGACGCTATCAACAGCACAGCTGAATAACGCGCACGCGGATAACGTGAATCAGCGGGCAGGGCGAGGGGGTGAGTAACAAGACATCGACAACGGAGCGTTCGCCACGCCGTGAATGCGATAACAGAGTCTTTGCACAAAGCGAGGGAAGAAAACAAACTTCCTCTACTTGCAGTCGTTGAGTTGAATCATTAAAAAAACAACTACAGTTACCTTACTCCTTAAGTACGGCAAGAGACCGGTTACGTTTATTGTTGTTTAACCACACAATATAACCCATTGAGAAATGTAAATATGTAGATATTTTTTTATGAATGGTAAAATTACAACAACGGGTTTAAACAACCAGCGGGACAATGCAATTCATGTATCATCGTCCCTTATCCAGTATATTATAACTGCGCCTCGATTAAAAAAAATGCATATGGTCCTATATTGGGACTTAAGACTATCACTGAATTATAATTTGCCTTATAGAGGAAGCCGGGGCATCCGGTGGAAACCCCATGCAATACAATGGCATAACAGCACACAAAGAGCGCACAGACAATCCAGCAACCGATTTGCTGTAGCGCCTTCTGCAGGCCACCTCGCGACCACACGGCGATCAGCGGGCCAGACGGGCATTCACCTGTCTCCTGATCGCGCAGTGGTTGATCTGTGTCGGCAGCTCCTCGGGCAACTCCATAAAGAACTGCTCCTCGCAGTCGCTGTCTCTGCATTGCAGAACCTCAGTTATCTGTGTAGGGGCGGGCAGCGTGTTCGGTGGTGAGAGGAGAGTGGAGGAGGCGGGCGGGGGGGGAGATGTGGGAGGAAGGCGGTTGGGTGTGGTGGTGGTGAAGTGAGTCAGATGACAGTGTAGAGGAGGCGGAGTGATGAGATGTGGTGGGGTGGGGGGTAAGAGAGAGGTGGGGGGAAAGGAGTGAGAAGGATGGCAGAACTTATTAATTACTTTTAAAAAAACGCTCGTCAATTTTGGGTTGGGGAAATCCCCACTCACTGGCCCAATGGGCAAGAAGCCATTCATTCACAAGACGGGGATTTGTCGCAGATTTACTGTGTTGAGGTGACTTTAAGACTCCTACGCCTAATTGTTGAGGTTCAGTTCCAACAATAACAAACCATCGAGGATGTTCCAGTGGGGAAATTACCCAAGCAATTGCCTAATAGTGGAATACATGTAATTATTTGACATCTCTGCTAACACAAATACATCAACAAACCAGTAGCACTGAAAACCAGTGAGAGTAAGTCATTCACTTAGTTTATCCATTTAGTGTATCTATAGTATGTGTTTAATTCAGACAACGAAATCAGCATTTTAGCGTCGAGTTTTTGTATTTGTGTGGACGCGTTGTCGTCGAACGGCAGAGATAAGCGACAACTCCGTGAGATAACGAAAAAAGAAGCGGTGGGTAAGCAAAACAGAAAACAATTCCCGTTTGTTCTGTTGCATTTGCCCCCTTTCATTCCTGTTCATTGCCTTATTCATACGTAGCTACGAGACGGCAATGGCACGTTTCATTGTGTAGCGCATACCTAATGCTCAACGTGCGTAAACTCAGCCATCCATTCCTCTGCAGGGTTATCAGTGCAGGTTTATATTAGAATGACTTCCAGTTTGTGGAACATGAACAATAGCTGTCAAGGCATTGCCTCTCCCAAGTGGGGGAATTTCCGCACGTGAATCCAAGGCTGCAAAAACAGGAATAGGCGGTCAGCTGTGGGAATTCCACCGCAAACAGTTTGAGGTTGGACCACTGCCTTTTGTTATTGTTGTTGTTGGAATGATGGCGCGAGTAATCGGACAGAACAAAAAGACCGCTGCACGGGCGCATGCTGCCTTGGGGTTTTCACACGCGTGTCACTATGCCACGTGTTTTCCGGTTGTGCAGCAACTCGTTCGGCACGATGCCCGGGCGTTGCGCCCGATACGGCTGGGAGCTTTTTATATTTGTCTTCCTTTCAGGACATGAACTGGAGCTCGAGAAGCTCCCACGGCACGTGCAGCGAATCGTCGGCCGTCAATGCCCTCGGGCAACAGCGCGCTTACTTAAACGCGACAATGCGCTGGAGTGATGCGGTTTTCTCCAGCACTCACGTATTTCTGGAGGTGGGTTTCAGCGTCCGTGCTCAGCTTCTCGGCGGCGCGCAGGCAGTCCGAGATGGCTCGTCGACCGTGCGGGGAGAGGAGCAGCGGAGCCCCCTCGGCGCAGGCGCACAGGACGCTGGCGAGCAGCATCCAGCGACTGAACGAGCACGCGGCACCTGCGGGCGAATAAATTGAAGGGAACGAATGAAGAACCAAAAGAGAAAATCGCGGTGGTCGGACATTTGCGTTACGCCTCGGTGAGGACGGTTGCGTAAAATGTGTAATGAGAAATCTTCCGTCCGACCGGCGTGGTGAAGTATGGTCAAACAACCCTATGGCCAACACCACTTCGGGGGGTCTTCAGCCAACAGCGTATAGACTAAGGGCTGTATACAATATGTATATATATATTTCGAAGTCTAGTGTTTTGAGTGACGGCCCTTCAGAACAGAGGTTAGAAAGTACGTAAATATTGACTGACGTGGCTGGGGATTGCTTCGCCAATGCAGTGCCTCTAAATGTTTTCTCTAAAAGTCAGTTAGCTATCCGGTACGCAACTCACGTCTCCTTAGCTACGCACACGCGCAAGATTTTAAACGCATCCTAGCAGGCATCTGTATAGAGATTAACGTGCATGTTTGCACACGCACGCGTGCGCGCAGCCTGTCAGGTGAATCGCTGTGGTGGCACGTGATTGAGTGCAGATGCCCCCTGCCTCGTGTTCATCGCAACTTCGCAAAAAAAAACACCTCCCCCCGCTCCTGGTCAACACTTGCGAGCGTTTAAAAATTCGACCCAAAATAACCTCCGGTCCGGCAGTTTTCAACAGATATCGTCATACTAGATTTGAAGCTTTCGTGACTGCAAAGATTCATACTCTTAGGTTTTTTCGGTGAAGTCACGTAGGTAAAAAAATAATGATAGAATAATGATAATAAATGAAAATAACTAAAGATATCGTCATGCAATGCAAACGCATGAATATTATTTCGTCTCTTAATTCGTTTGCCAAATGAAACATTGCTAGCAGAGGCGCATTATAGTCCTAGGTTTCGTGCAGCGTGTATTGACTCAGGCGGAGAAAAAACCCATCTGACCCAATATGTGGTCACAGCTGAAGTTCCCTTATTTGATGAAATGAGGCATCTGCACGTGGCCACATCCATAACAGAGGTTTTTTTTTGGGGTAAGATCGCGTAAATGTATAAATGTGTCGTTTAACCCGCCACCACTCGAACACAGCCAATTAGTAATGTTTGTCACATAAACAGAACGTGGCCAATTCGTTCACTAGTACAGCACTTCGGTGTGTTGGAGAGGCACGCCACAACATTTACAACCTGAGTACGACGTTTCGCATGTAATTACAACTAGCTTCATCAGGCGACAGCCAGATTTGTGGAGAGTCCATCGACCTGTTTCGTTCCTTAAATACGTTACAAACCTTACTAATTATCTGTTTCGGGTGATGGCGGGGTTAACGACACATGTACATATTTACGCGATCTCACCCAAAAACACCTGCATTATGGATGATATTGGTCGCGAAAGCCGACGTGTTAAATGTGGTTACGTGTCAGCATTCGTTGGGGGCGCCTACACAATTTAAATATACCAAGACTAACGCAGACAAGTAAAAACAATAATGGAGAATTGTCCCCTCCCCCACCACCACTCGCAGCTCGCTGCTCAATATTATATAATCTGTACATTCCGACGTTTCGATCGACTGGTCTTTCTAAAGAAGAACGCATTGCAGTCTAGTCCGCAACTATAACAAACGCCGCATGCCAAAATAGGGACATGCGTAACATGCGATTGCGCCGAAATGCAACGAACACTTAAAATAATTGACGCGTTAAATGCCGTGTGCGCTTTAAGCCCCGAAGGAGTACGCAGGAGTGTCCCTCGGAGACGCGAGGAATGCAAACAAAACGGTCTTTCTTAGCCCCTGAAAGCCTCCGCTGCAACCCACCATTCCGCGGCGGCGCGAGTCTTGAAACCATCTGGAGAAGGGAATGACGGATGCGTGTTCACACAGGACTCTGATTCTCCTCCAACTGCTCTCTTGCCCGCTGCTTCCAGTCGCTTCTTGGTCGTCCATCGCAAGAGTCTGACTTCTTATAGTCGCCTCTAAGATCCGGAATTTTTTTTGTCTGTGATGACCCTTGGGAAAATCCCCCACCCCCACCGCCTTCCACCTCCCCCCCGCTGCACACATTTGGGGGAAAGTAAAGTAGGGTGCGGTATGGAGCATGCAACAAGCTACCTACTTACCCCGCCTCCCGCACCCTTCGATTAGCACGGGTGTCTACGTAAGGTGTGAAAGAAGGTCGACAGGCATGCATGCGTGAGCAAGTAAACATGTCGGTTGCGCAATGTGACGACCAGAATGACTGCTGCGGATGTTCAAAGAATGCAATCGTCTGCTCGCAGACATGTGTCTGTCTTTGTGTCCTTGTCAGCATTTGATCTGTCAGTCAGCCAAGCCACGGTAGATAGACTCACACAGAGACCCGGAGACTCACGCAGAGACCCATAGACTCACGCAGAGACCCATAGACTCACGCAGAGACCCATAGACTCACACAGAGACCCATATACTCTCGCAGAGACGCATAGCCTCACACAGAGACCCATAGACTCACACAGAGACCCATAGACTCACACAGAGACCCATAGACTCACACAGAGACCCGTAGACTCACACAGAGACCCATATACTCACACAGAGACCCATAGACTCACAGAGACGCATAGACTCACAGAGACGCATAGACTCACACAGAGACCCATAGACTCTCGCAGACACCCATAGACTCACACAGAGACCCATAGACTCCCGCAGAGACCCATAGACTCACACAGAGATCCACAGATTCACAGAGAGACCCACAGGAACCACGATGTGTTCCACCGCTTGTTGTCACGCGCCGCGGTGGCATTTGGGTGATGATTTAATTTTCCATTGTGAAAGAGGTGATCGCATTTGATGCGGGCGGAAGAGGGGAGGAAGTGGGTGCGGTGCGGTGAGCCTGCTGATGACCGCGTGGTGGATGGATCCTCGATGGTAGTCTCAGTGTGGGATGATGTTTGAATTCACACAAATTGCCGCTCCACCAGTCTGTATCTGGCACGCGGCCAAGTCTTTCTGTATCTCCGCTTGGGTCGACTCAGCCTCAAACGAGTCACCTGGGCGGCGTGGGTATTATCAAGGGGGGAGATAAAGGTGGTCGGGCGTTGTTCTATGCACACCAGCCTTGTGTGGTGTGATGGGCGATTGCTAACATGACTTTTTATCGGACGTGGGTGCGTAGTGGTTAAGCTTGCTATCCTACGAGCTCAGAAAGCCGGGTTTGATTCCCGGCTACAAATCACATCATCAGTGGCTATTAGCATATCGGTTTACTTCGTTCACTTAGCCTTGAATATGGTGCAATATGTCGCGAGCATCATCATCATCAGGCTACTGCAGAGACAAATGCGGCTGGGGTAGCACGGTTCTGACCACATCGTGTGCTTTCCACACCTCAAGAGATTGTCCATCCACTACTAGCCGAGTGCATCCCCGCTCTGTTGAGGTGTCGTGTGGGAGTTGTTTCACCACACTTCATCGGGCTCGTCAATACTGGTTCGTGAAAGTGGGAATAATTGAAGCGGGAGCATAGAAGTACAGTACAACTACCATAATGGATTATGCTGCACTGCCCGTTGCTGATTAATGCATAACCCCGAAACCTATATCACCTGTTAAACATGGTACTTGCCCGTTAAAGAAATGTCCAGGCTCGACGTTGCTTGGCTTCTGAGCTGTGACCATAGTTTATACGATTAATCAAGTCAAATGAGTCAAAATTCTCCATTCCCATGACGGGACTAGGACACGTATTTCCCAGGAGACGTCACCAATGAGTGTGTATGTAATGTCCGTGGGAGTAACGATGGTGGGGACGTGCTGTTCGCTTGACACAACAGATGCGCGTTCAGCATGTTTGTCAGTCCACCGCTAAATGCGTCCTCCCCACGCCGTGCGCAACATTCGGGAATTTGTGTCGACCATACTTCACCACAGTGGCTTTTGACGTAGACGTGAGAGCGTACAGGTTGACTTGCATCCCACTGGGATTTTTTCACACAGCGTTGGTGTACGGAGTTTTTTCTGCAATATTTTGCTGTCTTTTTCTGGATTTTCTGTTTGCACTTAGTCACATATTCACTTTAAGATGTTTTTTGTTCATGTTTTTTTTTGTTGCGGTTGCACCCGATTCAAGAGCCGAATGGCTCACAGGGCTATACCTAATAAATGAACTTGAACTTGAACCATAGTTAGATCCATAGATAGTAGCCGCACCTTTATAAAACAAATTCTTGAGACGACTCAGTGAGGCTTCTTGCGAGTAAAATTTTTCGGTTACTGTATTAGTCATTTTTATTAGTCTGATACTTGTGGTAAAGGAATCTATGCGTAGAGTAGATTAGTTGTGCTAAAGAGTCTTGTCATGGAATGTGGCACTTCAGTTTTAAGACATTGCGTGTGGAACGTTGTGGATGTTAAGCAACAGAAAAAAGTACATTCACTCAAATTCCCTCTTCGGAGTTAAATTGCCTAACAAAATTATCCGCTGAGAGGTATGACCTAAATTTAGGGATCCAATCATTTATTTCAACACGTAAGGTTCCTCTTAATGATTTATATTCAGAAATTCCCGGTACTCTGTATGTATGTATGTTGAACTATATTCGCACCGAAAAGTAAATAAAGGTACGTCTTGGACTAATATGAAAATAGGTTCCAATGATCACTTTAAATTGACGAATCTAAGTGCGTACATCCACTCGGTGTCTTATTGAAATGCGTTGCGTGTGCATTTCACTTCACTTTAGTGTTGTTAATTTATAATTTCCATCTTCAATCGGTAACTCCCCAGAGCCCCAAGAACAAGACTGGGTCATCGCAAAACCAAATATATCACGAAAAGCAAATTTGCGTTTTAGTCCCAACATTTTCCCCATTCCCGATCATAATCTTACAATTGTTTCAAAATATATTTAATACGAGACGCGACCCAGTACAATAAAACAGTCGTTATCAAACGCATAGAATCACTCGACAATTGTGAAACGTACCAGGGGACACCGCAGTGATTTCACCAGACCATGGAGTATCACTTGCGGGCAGCCCCGGCACACTCATCAATGCGTCGTGGTTTTTTTTGTATTGCAGAATAATTCGCGTTGGCGTTGCTTGCTGATGATATGTAATGGTGAGCGCATTGGATTTTCAAGTTGCAATGCAGAAGTCGCCGGTTCGATCGCGGCAGTTGAAACAAATAGCAAGTTTCTTAAATCCCCCGAGGCAGCCGGTCCATCCAGCATTATGGATGAGTTCCCCATTTTTCGATCGAAAGGTGACATGTGTGTATGTGTTGCATGCGTGGGGAGCGGTAGTGTAACGGTAGTGTAGCGGTTAGCGCGCTGCGCTATTAACCCGGCGACCCAAGTTCGATTCCCGCTCACGGCCAACACCAGTGACGATTTTCTGAACCGGTCCTGGGCCTCTCCTAGGTCGACTCGGCTTCAAATAAGTACCGAGTGCGGTGTGTAAACATCGCCACTGGGGAGACAAAGGCGGTCGAGCGTGGTGCTGGCCACCCACCCCCTCGTGTACCGTTCCGGCCTTCATAGGTGCACGCTAACAGCACTTGCCCTTACAGGCTATACGGGGGAACTTAGTTTTTTTTGTATACATGCTGAACTTTGTTTCGCACCGTACGAAGCCAACCGCGCCGATCTTTCACTTATTAAAAATGCTGTTAATATATCAAAGGCGTCTTTCAGCCTTCACGAAGATTCATTCTCACCGGTTGTCTCTGGCACAGCGGAAGCGGGTTTGGGTGAGTTAGTGGATCGTGCAAACTCATAAGCTGCATTGGCCACAGCGTGACTTGCATACGGTAGTACAGCAAGTTGATTGTCGATCTATGTGTAGATTTTGCTCCCTATCCTCTAGGTTTAGATGTAAGACCCTCCCGACTTATCTCCTCCGCTGTGGGTAAAGGATGGTGGGTACATCCACCTCTTCCAGCGTTGAAGCGTAGACCAAACGACCCTCAAGAGGTCTTTCTAGACCTTCCCCAAGTGGAGGCCCTTCTGCCAGCAGTGTGGCGAGCAAGCAATTGCAGGACAGCACCTTTATCCAATTTTACATCCAGTGGACACGTTACAAGTTGGAAATATCGGAATTAAAGCTGCATATATATTTCGATGTAAAGCTTTCGTGACTGCAGGGATTCATCTTTTTAGTTCTTTCGGTAAAGTCACGTAGAAGGGAAATAATAAAATAATAAAATAAAACATAATAAAATAATTCTCACGACGTTTCGGCCACAACGCAAGCAGCCGTCCTCAGGTGAAGACCAGGTCTGTCGGGGAGGCAGCTGTGATAATTATTTTATGATGTTTTATGTTTATTACTTTATTATTTCCCTTCTACGTGACTTTACCGAACGAACCAAGAAGACTGCACATATATGTTAAGCATCAGTACTTGGCCGCCAGTAATCACCACTGTCATCAGTCACGACCTATCCACTGCTGGATGCGTGCCTCTCTCCAAGCCGTCACCATATCTTGTGTTCATTTAGCTCCTGCATAAAAGCTGATTGCAGCACTGCACTTCTACCGAGAACAATATTTGTGACGAAGCTTTGAGCGCTTGGTCGTCAAGCCTTCCCTGAGGATGTTCGCAAAGGCATATACAACATCAAGATCTCCACGCAAAAAACACCTCGCCACCGCAGTCTTTAACGACACACTGTGACAATGTCATCGCCATTAGCCGCGGTCAATCCACGCCAGCGCTCGACATCTCTGGCTGAACTTAAACGCCTCGTTTTAGATATTGCCCCACAACTTTGGGGGAAAATAAGTTATATTTAAAAAAAACTTTAAAAAAACACGCTTTAATGAAATGTACCATACGAGTAATGGTAGAATTCCACGACTCCAGAAAGTGGCCTCGAGGCTTGCCATAACGTAAGGGACCGTAGTGGTTTACAGCCAACGTTATTTAAGCGTGGACAATTAGACCCAAGCCGAAACATAACATACAAAAAAAATTGTTCTAAAATATTTTTATTTTATTTTTTATGATAGAATATGGTATTGACACCAGTAAGACATAAGTATACGAAGTTTGCAGTCGATACCACATTGGGAAGTGGGTTAAAATTGAGTTTCAAGATTTGAGGATACGATAACAGACAGAGCGAGTTGATCAAAAGCGTGTAAAAGAATGTTTTAAAATATATGTTTTAGATTTTTTATGATAGACTATAGTCTTGTCATCAGTATGACATAAGTTTGCAGTCTATAGCACATTGGGAAGTGGATAGTTCAAGTTCAAGTCCATTTATTAGGTATAGCCCTGTGAGCCATTCGGCTCTTGAATCGGGTGCAACCGCAACAAACAAAAAACAAAAACATGAACAAAAAAAAATCTTAAAGTGAATATGTGACTAAGTGCAAACATAAAATCCAAGAAAATACAGCAAAATATTGCAGAAAAAACACTGTACATCAACGCTGTGTGCAAAAATCCCAGTGGGATGCAAGTCAAACAACCAACAACAACCACAAGACAACTTAGATTAAGGCCATCAGTCTTACATAATAAAACATTAAGTTACAAAATTTTTGAGGATACGACAACAGACAGAGTGAGTTAAATAAAAAGCGTGTAATAATAAAAAAACATTAACCCGTAAAAACAAAGTTTTTCACTATAAATCCTTTATATGCGTGGCGGCTAGAGTCCTCTAGTCCTCTGGCTTGAGATGGCTGCCACCTATGGGTCAGATGATTGCCTGCCACCATTAAGCAATTGGTAATTAAATATAATTAATTTTTTCCTAGAAAGTGTAACATTTTGGAATTTTTTCACGAAAATAAATTGTCACGCACAACGAGTTTGTGTGCAAAATGTCAGCTCGATTGGATCACGGGAAGTGGGTTAAAAAACGACCGAAAGATTTGCACGGTCGTAAGCACGCAAGCAAGCAAGCAAGTGAACTTAATATAAAGGATTTAAATAAAGAGCAGGCGATGGAACGACCGTGGCAGGTGCCCCATCCGCTGCGTCTCGAGTCAGCGCGTGGCCTGTGCAGGTGATGTTGAGACGTCCCACCACGGAGGCATTCGGCCGGCAATGACGTCAGCGTCTAGACTTGTGAGTCATCTCGTTCGGAGCGTGACGGCACACCTTCGCCTCTTGTGAGGCCCCGCCTTCCCACTGCCCGAACAATGATGCACAGCACGTGTTTACCGCCGCTTCGGGAAAACAGGTGAAACGTGTGGGAATGGAAAGTTTACCATGGGCGGAGATTGCTTGTGTTGCGATCGAAACGTCCTGATTTGTTTTATTTTATTTCTACCTACGTGACTTCACCGAAATAATCAAAGAGTATTAAATAAAATAATTAATGATATGCTCACGCGATTCCTAATGTGAGGGATAAAGTGGAGCCCCTGACCCCCGCCCCAAATATAGAAGTCAAACTCCGCCTTTGTATATTACCTGTGATGCCTCAGGGTTTTATTTGACACCTTACACGTATCAGTTATATTGGTAAGAGCACCCAAAGTCAGTGTCATCATCAATCATGGTCAATTCACTGAGCGCTGGGCAGCTTGAGGGTCATTTGACTATAAACTAAACTATACATATTTATTTTTCTCAAGTAAAGTCCACTGAGCTGCATAGCTTCTTTTCAGAAGCGATCTGGCTACAAATGATGGCTCAACGAAGTGGCTTATCACGTGGACATTTATAGCAGCCAAATACTCTATCTAAACGGAATTCCCGGGGTAAAATCCACGCGACCACGGGGAGAACATGCAAATTCCAAATATACATACCAGACAAGGTATCTTCTTGGTTCTTTCGGTAAAGTCACGTAGAATGGAAATAATAAAATAATAAAGATTAAACATAATAAAACAATTCTCACTTGTTTTATTATGTTTTATCGTTATTATTTTATTACTTCCATTCTACGTGACTTTACCGAAAGAACCAAGAAGATGAATCCCTGCAGTCACGAAAGCTTTAAATCGAAATTCCAGGCAAGGTAGTTAGCATCTCGCCACCGTGGCGTTTGCCCAAGGGTGGAAGGACATCGACACGACGTTGCAAGTGACACATCGCTACTTGGTATGAACACGTCTTTCCACAAACGCCTCACGCACCGTGCAATGTAACAGGGTACCCTCAGTAGTAGGTTTTTACCCTTTAAACTGGTACAAAACTGACACCTTTATACAAGGCATCATGTTTGCAATAACCACAACACAAGCAGTCAAAATGCAAACAAAAAGAAACAACTCTGATAATGGTAATGATATGCACTGTCCTTGAAGTTGATTGGTCCACACCCGAGACAGCGTACAACTCAAAAACAGCGCACTAGTGCGCTGTTTTTGAGTTGTACGCCTTTTGGCGTCATTTGGTCCAACACCAATGGAGACTAGGCTCTAAGGAAAGCTGTCTCGGGTGTGGACCAATCAACTTCAAGGACAGTGCATATCATTACCATTATCAGAGTTGTTTCTTTTTGTTTGCATTTTGACTGCTTGTGTTGTGGTTATTGCAAACATGATCCCTTGTATAAAGGTGTCAGTTTTGTACCAGTTTAAAGGGTAAAAACCTACTACTATATTTTGCCACTGTAAAGGAGGTCTCATAGGGTACCCTCACTCGGATGCACTCCATCATAACAGTTCCTGACGGGGTAGTTTGTATGCATGCTTAGTGTTCGCATGCTCATCTTTAGCCACAAATTATGTGCCCGGCTCTGGGGGAAACACCGTGTCGGGGCACTGAGGCAATTGCTGAGATGGGTTAGAATCCGGGTTTCAGACCCCTGTGATGAAACAGGGTGCTCAAGTGTAGCGAGTTAATAATCTCAGCCTGATAACCAATGACTGCACAAAGCCCCCACTGCATTCTATTTGATTCTGAACTTCATTTGGCTAAATTCCAGTCACGTGATTCATGTAACACTCTCGATGGCAGAGCGGTTGGGAAAATCCTGCCCCCCTCTTGTGTAGAATAGAGGCCTCATTGAATGGATTTCAGGGATGGTTTAGTGATATCTACTTCCACGGGCAGTTCTCCAACACCAACGGTCGCACTGCTATGCGAGAGACCCATCAAATTAACATTGCTTTGCATATTCCAGCCCCGAGAAGTGCAATATTTGCATTTTTTCATGAACATGCAATGCACACTATTGTCAAGACATGTTTTAGATTTGCCTTGAAGTGTGGATAATGAAGCCAATTGAAGTGACTTCAGAAGTAGTTTTGTGAAATCATCTTCGAGGCCAGGGATTGGCAACCTTTCAAAGAAGAAGGGCGATATTTTTTGTTTTTATCTCTGACAAAAATTATTTCGAGAGCCTCATCACACGGAGAGGTAACTTCTTGTGCACAAAGGGAGCAGGCATACAGCAGATGACAAACACATTCGGACTTAAATAAACACAAACATGCGATGGAATCAACTGCTTCTGTTTAAGTCATTTTCCCCTTAGTTTTTTGTTTGTTTAACAATGCAGTTTGACTGTACATTTTGTTGTCCCCAAGACGGTCACATTGCATTTTATGGGGAAAATAGGGTCCGATTTACGACGAGGTTTCCAGCAACGCATTGGGTCGTAACAGCGGGGAACGCTGAGTTACTACATTTTTGGAGTGTAAAGAACGGAATTCGGTGGGGTTTTGTTTTCTTTCTTTTAACGGCTGCCCGCGAGGGGGCAGCCAAAGAGCCACACGCGGCTTCCGTGCCGCACGAGGAGTCACGTGTCCCATGGACGAGGTTGCGGATGGAATTGCAGCCAAAGGGGTCAACTGTCTGTGTAATGGGAGTGATTAAATCAGCACACACGTGTGTCGGCGTTAGAATTTAGCATCGCAGGACGGTGCGGGACGGTGATGGCATGTCGAGATCTTCATACAGCAGTGGCCAAGACAGGAGCTGATGGTCGATGATGTTGACGATGAGTAAAAATACAATAACACAAAGTGTGAGTTGTCTTTTTATTATTATTATTATTATAAAAATGTAAACGAATTCTCATTCAATAAACAGCATATTAAATAAATAACTTTGTCAGCGATGCTTTTAAATATGTATAAATAAATATATGTTCACGTAAACTTTGGAATTCACCAATTTTACAAAGTGCAAACCACCTTACAACCGCCTATTTTGTAAACCTAAGTGTCGGAGTGTGATCTTCTGGGTTGCATCGCACATTACTTTCTAAAAAACACGTGCAAAGGGCTATAAAGTGTGACCATCAAAACTTGCGCAGCAGTATTGGGTCATTGATAACTTGCGGTGTTGTGACACATACACACACACCGTCCTTGATATCAGTAATCCCACAAGACAACAACATAATAATTATCCAGTGGCGAATGAAAATCGTTTCACATCAATCACTCCAAAATAACAAATTTACAATGAATCGTGTGCTGCATGAGACCAGGGTCATTATCTGGTCTCGTTCAACGTACATGTACTGCACGTATGTTTGTTGAACTTCTTTCACACCGTACGTAACCAACCGTGCTAATCCGAGGTGCAGGGAAAGGACAACAGACTGAACACAAAAAACAGTTCTAAAGAAATTAGTTTTCAATCTAGATTTGAACGTGCATAGCTCCAGTGGCTTCCTAATATCGAAAGCGAGAGCAACCCCAGCACGTGTGAGCGCGCGCAACACAGTGACCACCTTTGCTCAATGGCTATCAATAAGCTCCTGCGAGGATGACCGGAGTTCGCGTGATGGTTTAGGTTCCTTGATGAGATTCGCACGGTGTTGTGGTCCATTTGTGGCAAGCCCTTTGTGTGTAATTAGTGCGACCTTATACTGTTAATACATTAGAAACCAGTGGGGTGTCGATAAATGGGTCACCCTGTACATTGACATCTTAAGTCACAGTTTTCATCATCAAAAATGTTCGGACGACCACCTCGATCTGGTGGATAAAGAGGTGGAGAACTCGTGCCGTAAACACCTTTTTTGACCACGTTCCCATCAGCTCCTCCAAGTTTTCTGCAGTCACTTTGAGATCATGGATGACCTGCTGTTCCTCCAAGCCAAACTAAATGAAATGACAAAGCACAGAGCCATCCTGCATTAATATCATCATCATCATCATCGTGAGTCATGGTCTCTTCACTGCTAGATAAAGGCCTGCCTAGTTCCTACGCTAGTACTGTCCTTCGTATGTATGTATGTATATATAGCTTATTTTGCTCCATGCACAGCCAACCGTGCTCATCGGTACTTGTGATGTACTGCGATGCCACAATCCATCTCCCTGCTGTACATGAATGGCCCTAACTGCTCCATCTCCGCAACGGACGTGCCATTAATCATATTCTGACATTCGGATGTCATCTGTAGTGCGTCGACCGTCATCCATCATCCCTTTTAGAGATGTCTCCTGTCCAAGCCCACCACTTAAGAGTCAATATGTGTCTGATTTGAAAATGTTCTTCCCTCTTAGCCATGTGTTCCTCTTTCTGTGTGACACTGTAATTCTCAGCGTACAAGACGTGTGCTAAAAATAGTCTTCGTTAACACCGAAAAGCCTCACTCAAGTTCAGTCACTCATTTTCGGAAGGGCCTTGCTTTGTTCAGTTTGACTAATTCCTGTTTAAGGGTTGTTGTATGTGTGGGTGAATGCACTGGAATACCCCAAAAAACCCTTGTGTACACTAGGGTTGAACTCAACACGGAACAGATGACATAACTCTACCAGCTGACAAGCCTACTACAGACAACGAATTGCATGATTGCATTGTGTGTGTATGTAACGTCGTCTACGTTCATGTCTGAATTTAATAAAAGCATATGCTGCTCAACAATTGGAACAATCGGTGTTGTGTCTTATTTCACTTCTATTATTCTACAACTTCATGGAAAGCTCTAACAAACTCAATCGTCTCCTCTTTCTCTCCAGGCTTATTTAAACTCCAATTGCCATTCCACCCCTTTTTGTCTGCTCTTCAACTCGCTCGACTGCCCCTGACTGACAGCCCCGTGACTGTACACTGATCACACTCCCCACGTCACAGCCACGAGCTGTATGAGGTGTGGGGGCTCTGCCCATTCAATCGGTGGTGCTGTTGGTATTCACATTCAGCGTCGGTTATCTCATCCCTGCAGTTGCCTGTTGTGGTGCCACATCCTTTTATCATGTAGCCGCTCAATTCCTTGATGAGGCAATATCTTTATAAGGAGTGTGCTTCACTACATATTTACGGAACTTTAATTTTATATAAATTGTTTTGGAGTGGTGGTCAGCTTTGCTATGAACTCTGTGACCTGAAATTTAATTTGCTTCTGAGCTATGGCAGTGGTGAGTGATCGATCAATCAAACCAGGCCTGGACCCCCCCCCCCCTCCACCACCCCCCCCCCCCCCCCCACTGCACAATTAACCAATCCGCACTGACAAACATTGGTGAACCATGGTAAAATAGCGTTCCATTTAACATGTAGGCTTTCGCAAGCAATAGTATTCATAATAAAGGTTTTTTTGGGGTTAGATCGCATCAATATAAATGTGTCGTTAACCCACCACCACCAGACACAGACAATTAGTAAGGTTTGCCATGTGAACAAACCTGGCAATTAGCTATTACTTTAGCACATCTGTGTGATGGCGAGTACACCAGCAACATTTACAATGGAGTACGACGTTTTGTTGGTGATTATAACCAACTTCATCAGGCGATTTTCCTGAATTGTGAATAAGTCTTCCTGATTCCGCTCTTAAATAGAGCAAGATGATGATGTTATCACTGTGAGCTGATCAGGTGCAAAGATAAGAGGGGCTGTGGCGCGTGATGGTGGGTTAACCATACATTTGTATTTACACACTTTAACCCAAAAAAACTTTATTTTGAAAACGAGCCTTCATCAGCAACGGTTTGACAAAGGGCAGCAACTTCTAAATGGTATATCGGCGCACTAGCTTCTTCAAATGAAAAGTTATAACCCCCAAGATAAAAGTTAATAGTCCATCACAGCTCATGCCATTGGTGGCACTATACCAAGTCATCACTTCCTCTCATAAATGCTGCAAATGCAATAACCTGATGTTCAATGCTTGCTCTTACAGTCTCAAAGACCGCTCTTAAAGTTCCCCATCACCACCAACAACAACACGTGGTTTAGGCCTTCTCTTTATTCGCTGACCCCTGGTGCTTGCATCTGGTGACCTATCCATCTCCGTCTTCATTATGCGCAGGTATCACGTGCGGGGTAGCAGTGGTGTTCTCACCTGTGAATGGATGAGGCTCAGGAGGTGCTTCATGTCGGTGTTGACGTGCTTCAGCCTCAAATGTCTTCCTGATTTTTCGGTGATGAGCTGTAAGTACATCTCATATATCTTCAAGTTTCTCCAGATATTCTTCATGCAGAGGTCGTGGCTCTGTAAATTGAAATCGAAATGCATGATTAGTATGCGATTTTAACAAACAACCGTTAAAGCATAATGCACAAATTAACTCGTGGTCATTTAAATATAAGTAGGGTGCCCTCTGCTATTCAGCAGTGGATTGAACATGGAAAATTATGATGACCGTAATTATTTGTACTTATCATCATCAAGAGTCAATCCACAGCTGGATGAAGGCCTGCCCAAGCAGTCACCATTTCCCATTATCCTACGAAATAATAATCCACCTGCACATAAGCCAATTGTACCACTCCATCCCACCGGTGGACATCCTCTCGGATACATCATGGGAGCTCCTTTGCCAGTACCAAAATATACTAATAGGCCTTTTCCCCTTTTTTATCAGAGTTTTTCCCCTTCTTTTTTTTAATCAGAGTATTGTTTTTTGTTTGCATTTGACTGCAAGTATTGTGGTTAATGTAAGCATGATTCCTTACAAAAGGTGCCAGTTTTGTTGCCAGAAAAAAGGGGAAAAACCCTATTAGTATCCTCTCGGATGTGTTCCATTCCTTGGCTGCTACTTTTGCCACCATTCCTAGCGGTGAGACTGTACTCTAAACGCTCAAGGATTCGTACTGATGCTGCCATACGGCCACAAATTAGAACAGCGGTGGTGGTAGCGGCGGCGGCGGCAGTGTGTGTGTGACACGTACGGTATTGAGGGCAGCCTGACTGCAGTTATTCACGTTCGTTGGCAACATCGCGGGAAACTCTTTGCCCAATAATTCCTCGCAGCCGCTCTGAGCCCCGCAAGGAGGCATCACTTCCTGCATCTGCACACGCACAAACATCATGGGCACCAGATGTTAACATCAACCACGTGACGGGCAACACGGTGATTTTGTTCAAATTATGAAAAGCTGCACTTTGTAACGTCTGGAATTTAATAAGCAGGGGTGTGTCCGTAGAGTACATTACTTGAATGGATGGTTACAAAAAAAAGTGCAGGTTGCTATATAGACAAAAGTTCTGGGCGAGTGGAGGACCGAGACAATCTAAAGCAGTGTTCCTCACTCATTTTCGGTGGGGGCACTTTTTCGCCAATAAGACATCATCAGTGCGCGAGGGCTGCCACACATTTGAAACCATTGTTGGGTTTGACAGCAGCACGATGATGATGATGATGGCGGGTGTTGTCACGTGTTGTTGTTGTTGTTTACTGTTGGGGGACCGCACGTCAGGGGCCGCACTAAAGGCCACCAGGGGTAGCCAGTGGCCAGAGGGGCATTGCAATGACCAACGCTGCGCTAGATATGATTTGGCTCTTTCGGTAAAGTCACGTAGTTAGGGTCAAAGAAAAAAAAACTACGCTTCGATCGCAACACAAGCAGTCGTCTGCCTGAAGACCGCTTGTGTTGCGATCGAAACGTCGTAGTATCTACGTGACTTTACCGAAAGACCCAAATAATATTAATTCCTGCAGTCACGAAAGCTTTAAGTCAAGGCTGCACTAGATGTTTCCCCCCCCCCCCCCATGATTATAATGCTCCCACGTCTATTGCCCTCCACCGCCACTAATCCGCAATGCCCAAGGTGGTGAAGTATGGTCAACGACACGGACGAGACGAGCGACACGGTGTGCACAGGGCCTTCATCCAGCAGTGGATTGACACATGCGTAGTATTCCTGCTCTAAGTTACTCTACGCGTCCAAGCTGATAATTATGCCTCTCTGCCGGCCACGGCTGTGGAAACGATGCCCCCTACAGACAGCCTCGCTCATGCCGGCTTTACACCCAGAGTGTCGGTTTTAAACTGTGAACATCTGAATGGAAATGTTTTTCTCCAAAAGTCTCTGACAAGTAATTCTCCAAATGTACTACGAGAGTTAAAACAAAAATTACCTCTATAAATTACGACTGCATTACAACTGCATGGTTATCGCGGAATCTCCCGACAAATAATGCAACTCCACCTATTGTACAACTTTCCTTTGAAGGGGCACCGACGCTTATAGCATTTGAGCTGCATTTACTGTGATATAAAACAGACGCCTCTGCAGTTCGTTGTGGATTTAGTGTTACTGCCTGTGATGATAACATCTCAAGAATGCTGCACTGTACGAAAGAGGGAGAGAGCAGAGACGGTGGCGTATACTGTCCAGGTAATGAAGAGATGATGATAAAACAACATACATAATACGCCATTTACTTGGGATCAGAATTGTGGTAACCGCTTAGGATCTAAATGATGAAATAGTAAGCCGTACAAGAACAGGTTGGATTGCTTTTGGAATAGTGAATTGAATCATGAAAGGCTACATTCTAACGTGCTTAAATAAGGCAGATCGGATGGGTGTGTATAACCTGCTATGGCATATGGATCAGAAACGTGGATATAAACGAAGGCAATTGAACTGAAACGTGAACAGAGAAGCGTGGCGAGAGAGAGAGAGGCGTGCTTCTAATAAGTTCATCGGATTTAAGTGGGCTTGGCAGTACACGTCCCATCAAGGTGTCGATGGACGGTTTCAGCTCAAGGAGAGAAGCTACGCAAGGGAATTGCTACAGCGGAAATTGAGCGATGAAAACCAGCGTGCGGGAAAGTTCTCGATGGTTACATCGTATGTGCAATGAGAGATGGGCGACGCTTGCATCTAACAGTAGCTAGATCATGTCTGATGATGATAGCCCTGAGTGTTGACAATGATGTAACTCATAGTACTGTAGAGTGATGACCGTGACGATGATCATTGTGATGCTGATAGTGAATGATAATGGGCAGGAATGGTCTTTCGTACGGCTGATATAAATGCAGAACAACAACTGCAATTTCACAAGCAGGTGGTCAAGCCAGATGACCGTCGTTCTTATACGTGGTGCGCTCTGTTCTGGATGACCACAGTCGCATACTGCAGTGTCTTATTTGTTAAAGGGGGTTCAGGATGGACCATGAAGCAACGACGATGATGATGATAATTCCCAGCGTATAAACACACAGCCATACATGTGTATAACAGTATACGTGTCCTGCGACAACAACAACCAAAACAACTTTTGTACAAGTACCGTACTCGTATCGAATCGCTGCGGGTGTGTTTCCACAACTCACGTAATCATTTAAGGCGGTCTGAGAGTCGGTGAGCAACTTCTCGGCGACGTTGAGCAGCAGCGGCTGCAGCCGCGGCTCGCCTGTGCCCAAGGGGGGCGGCGGAACGGCTCGTCCGTGGGTTCCCATCCTCATCGTGGACATCACCGTCATCGTGACCATCAGCGCCTGGAGCCCGCGCAGCATGCGCGAAGACGCTGCGCGCACAGCGGACGCTTGTGCTGCGGGGTGGTGGAGGAAGAAGAGGTTGGAGAAGAAAGAGGCGTGAGCGAACGAGATTGGCGCCGCTCGGAAGGATTGCGAACGCACGCGCGCGCGCGCGCACGGTTAATAATTCGCGTTTTGGACCCCTTTGTTGTTCATTAACGTCAGTGTGCGGAATGCAATCAATGATGGCTTCGGGTGCTTGAATTGAAACGAATGGTTACTCGCAATGTACGCACAACTATCCGGGCGCCGTGTCGCCTTCGCGCTCACATCGTGTTTTGAAATACTTTAACTTTGTTTTACGCATTAAACAGCCATAGCCAGTCGATGTGATCAACGCGCTTACCGCCTACGCTACACAGCTTAATGCTAGTCTTAATTTACAATCCCTTTTTCAATCCATTACTGGATGAATGTCTCTTTGGTTTTGTTGTTGTTTACCATACTTCACGCTGGTCAGTGCGTATTCGGTGGGGATAAAACAACAACAAAAACAGAGCCGTGTCACAAATGTTATCGGCCACGGATGTTAGCCGTGGCCGGGAATCAAACACGGATTTTCCGGACACATCACTCCCGTATAGAAAAACTGCGCTTGAAATCGTTGACTCGAGACAAACCGTTCTTATTCTCGTGTACATCGTGCTGCGTACCTGTGGGAATCATTGCTGTCACAAATTCGGATGCAAAGTCGCGTGCCCACGAGGAGCGAGATTGTGTCTAGTGTTGAAAGAGCCGACGGTTATTCACAATGAGCGCCATCCCCGTATTTATGTCCGGTATCTATACGGTCATCCCATTGATTCCGAAACATGGGAAAGCCCAAATTTCTCGATTGCGTCAATACATCCGGATGAATTTTTTTTTTAAACCAACATTTTCATTTCATAGAATGACGTCATCCGACCATCGCGTCCCACCGGAATGCAATACCGTGACGGCATAGGATGAGGAGGGATTAAACAGGCGTTAATAATTTCGGTTTCTATTTTACGTCAAACATAATATAGGAAAATACTGGACATTTCAAACACTCGCTCTTGTTGAATTGTTTGGCGAAAACAATGACAATTTCATTAATTCAATAGAATATAAATTTAATGTAATTAAAACAATTGTAGGATATTGCTTTAATGAGAATTGCATTCGCGAATAAATAACTATATTTACAACTTAACTATTAACAGCCCTTTGTCAATCTACTGCTGGATGAACGCCTCTTACGTGCCATGTCGGTCATGTGGGTTGTTTGACCATACTGGTGGCGGTTTGAGTGTGAGTGGGGGATGTATGTCATTAAGTTATAGTTTGAGAAGCGCTGGGTAACCCCTCCACCTGGTACTTCTTATACCAAACGCCACGGTGAAAACACGGACATAAGCTCGTGCTGGGGGCCCCAGACAACAGGGATTCATGACGCCTTCTGGCCAAACTCCATTTGACAGAGCCAGACTGACTTCCCCCCCCCTGTCCCGGGATTCCTCCAGGAACAGGAGACTACCGCAATTGGCCACGTTGCGAAGGAGGGGCTGCCACTACTCTGTCGGGAGATGGATCGGTACCGCCTGGACCTCTGTGGAATACAGGAGGCCCGGTGGACCGGTTCTGGCTCCACTCATCATGAGGGGTGGACAGCTCTCCACTCGGGGCAGGAAACTGCCAAATAAAAGGGAGTGGCACTTCTTTAATAGTGCAGTGTGGGAGTGTGGCGGTGAGGTGTTGGATGCTGTAAGTCCCAGGCTGCTGGTGACTCGCCTCCCCATAAACAAGAGGCAAGGAATGGTGGTGGTGATGGTTGCTTATGCCCTCACCGAATTTAATCATCAGTGGACGGGTGCAGACAAAGCCGATCTGTCAAATGCCCTTTATAACTTCCTATCCCAGGTGCTAGCTAAAGTGGCCTCTCGAGATAGAGTCATCCTGTTGGGTGACATCAATGACCAAGTGGGTCACGATGCAGACACCTGGGTCAGAGTGATTGGAAGGCAATAATAAAGCTCAATAATAATGGTAGGAGACTTCTAGACTTTTGTAATTACCAACACGCTGTTCCGGCTTTGGCGAATCACGCAATATCATGGATGCACGGCAGGTCCAAGTGTAGTGTAATAGCGCCGACTGTTGTCCAGCAATGGCAACTGCGGTGGACGAGCAGCACACGCCGGTGAGCATATACACCAGTGTGTCGGCAGGGCGGAGGAACTGGGGCAAGGGTCATGGAAGACCCTATCTGGAAGCCCCTGGAACCCACTAGTCGGTTCAAGAAGGAAGGCACAACCAGGGTGCAGCCAGGCCGCTCCGGGTAGCATAAAAGCAGCTGAGAGCGGGAGCTCGTGGCTGCCGGTTCTGGAAAGTGGACTCATCTCGTCGTCGCTGTCATCTTCGCCGCCTTTGTCGCTGCCGTCTGCACTAAATATTGTGCGGCCGTATAGTTGTTGGCTGTCTCAGTCGGTGCCGTCAGTGTTACACGGTCAGGGTTGTGTTAAGGCTAGGCTAGGCGACTAGGGAGAGCGCGAGGGTGAACCCTTGAACCTGAAGGTGTTAATAAAGAAGGTGCTCCTGAAAAACCTTGTCTCCTGCTCTGCTGTAACTACACAAGTGAGAACATCTGCTAGCCCGTGTATTTGACACTGGGACCTACCATAGAGCTGATCTGCCAACTGCCCATCAGCTAGTCATCTCTAAGATGCGCCTGCCATTCTTCCACTCCGGTGATGGGTGTCTATCTAGGACCCCATTCAAACCCACAGTAGCCTGGTCTCAGCTCGCTGAGGATAGTTGCAAGCACGAATTTGAACGTCACTTGCTACTGGGGTTGGCATTGTCACCCCCTCCTGATACTGAGGGGAAATGGGTAAGGTTCAGGACTGTGGCTCATGCAGCTGCAATGGCTGCATTGGATATGCAGTCTGGATGCACAAAAACATTATAAGTGTAATGATCGAAAATGACCCCAAACCAATGTGCAGCCTAACGGATATTCAAAGATAACCAAGGTATCCGATTGTAGGAAAGAGGCCTCAGGAGGCGTGGCTTTTGGAGTGATAGAAGGAAAAGTTTTGAATGAGAATAGGCAAGAAACAAAATGGAACCCAGAGGCGACGGTTTGGATCCGTTGGAGGGATAGGGCAGGGATTGGCTAAGGGAAATACAGTGAGGGAACATTCGAGAAAGGGGACTGAGGGATTTATAAGGAGAGAGCACGAGGAGTAGGGACCTTCGGAGGAAGATACAAGCTAGAAGACAAGCACGAAGCCTAGGGTCCCTGACTTTGGAAGTCTTCAAATAAAAGTGGCTCTTCGTATAACTCATCATCGAGTCGTTACAGAAGTGTACTAAAACAGCCACGTTAGAGAAGAGATCAGTCTCGTAAAGATGTGATGCCTACAAAACAACGAAGTGATATAAAACGGCCATGGTAAACAACACCATTTTTTTGGAGAAAATCTACAAAATTGCCGAGCTATATTACAATGTCAAATCCCATATAGACAGATGCAGTCACGAAAGTTTCAAATCAAGAATGAGTGAATATGTTAAACAGCACACAATTTAGACAAATATCCCCCAATGCGCCAAGTTATATAAAATGGCAAATTGCATGAAAAACTGCATTCGGAAAATGGCTAAGTTTTCTCAGTTGATCGAGATACAACTAAGAGAACATTTCATAACAGCAGGATATAGCTGCGCCTTCACACTGCAGGATGCGTGAGCTAATTTGGGAGGGTTTTTTGTTGTGTTTGTCAAAGGCGGGCATTGCCTGTGGATTTCCCCCGTCTCGTTTGGTTAAAGTTGCGTAGAATACTACGCGGGAAAGTTCTCCAAGACCCTGTTTACCGTGTCACGTGGCCGCAGCCGCCTGCAATTATTGGTGACTACCAGCATTATGCAACATTTGAAACGGCAACTCGGAATTGTGATCTGAAACTATGATTTTTGTCAAATGTGAATGTGCAAAGTGTAAGTTATCCTTTCTTTGTTCAACTGTAACTAGAGGTGATATTTTTCCCTTTATTATTCCGTTGTTGACTTCGAGTTGATGTGTCATTGAGTTTACTTTGGATAGTTGAATGTTTCTCTACCTACGTAACTTCCACAGTAAATTTCCACCATTTCCGATCCCAGCTTCGACTGGACATACGTGAGAAAAACATCAACTCATTGTGTTCTTCCAGCTTAAATAAAATTCCCATGACCGATGAGTTGACTATGTTAATATTCTCAAATGTGTAAAAAAACTGCTAAAGACTTCCGGATACGTTGATTGAGATGACGGTGGTGGGGGGTGGGTTGTAACCTCTATCTCGGAATTGGAGAGATGAAATCAGCTTGCGTGCATGCGCTCGGTCCATGATTGCATCGCAGGAATCTGAGACTTGTTGGAGGCCTTCGTCCAGCAGTGGATTGGTCATGGCTGATGATGTAGATGGAATTAAATTGTTTCAATGAGCATACCTGTCAGCGCGTGGTGATTTATGTTAAAACGAAATTATCTTTTTTTCTCAACTCATCAGCTGTTCCTCTTTTCCCATTTGCTCAATGACAGGCTGACACTGTCATGTGATCACTACTTCAACGATGGGTATTTATATACCGAATACTGGACGGGAAACATGTGACTATTCACGATTTTAGAAAATGACCCTAACACAACTATGCTTCGTAATTATTTGTTTCAAACCTATACCCAATAGAGGAATATGATAATGTGCACATAGCGGAATGCATGCACATCTTTTACCGCAGATGGCAGTAAACCGAAGTCAGTGTCATGAGTTCCGTTTTCGATGATGCCACTTAAAACAGTGGCTTTATTACTCAATCTTTGTCATCCTTGATCCGCAGCAGCGGGACAGCGTGAGGTGCACGGCAGTATAATCCTTAGTCACCCGAGTTTGATTTCCAGCCATGGCTACATCAGTAGCGAGTGATATATCTGAACTGGCCTTGGGACCTCCCTTCACCAACCCGCACGGAAATCAAACCACCGCTGTGGATGGCAAGGCGTGGGGGAGCCTTCGTCCTGGTGTGGATTGACAAATGGCTGTAATATAATAGATGATCCTACATTCCCTCTTCGTAGAAAATGTCTTACTGACAACTATATAATTCACAATTGTCTGTCCATCTGTCCGTCACGCTCTCTTATATCCCATCCGTGATATCCGAGGAAAAGATGAACCAAAAATGTCTCTCTTGCCAAGGACATCTCTGCAAAATTGTTGTCTTATGGAATTTCAAACATTTTGACTCTGAAAATGTGACTGAACATCCCAGAACATCCAAAATACCTCATTGGTATTTTATGTCATTGGAACGTGCCATGCAAAGATTAATGGGTACTTGAACATAGTAGGCCAGCAAATGTCAGTGTAATATGAATAACATCTATTTCAGATGTGTGTGTGTGTGACATGTCATATGTTTAATGCCATTGTGCAAAAGCATTTGATTGTGATAGCAGATGTGCTAAATATGTGTGAACAATTTTACTGTAAAAAAAACCTGCAGGAACAACAAAATCATGGTTCCTCAAATCGTGTTCAGCTGAGTGATGTGAACGGAATACAATATTTGAGCCATGTAAATTGCAGGGCACTCATCCAAGTCGCTTGAATAATCTGAGAAGGATAAGTCGTGTTATTAACCTATTAACACGGAACATGGAAACCTTTATCAACGTGGTGAAATAATCAACGGGGGGGGGGGGGTGATGTGGGGGGTGTATAATTAACCGTATCATAGGTGGCCAGCTATTCTATTTTTATGTAAGTAGCTAAATGCCAATG